TTGGAATTCTTGTCCTTTAAAAGAAGAATGGCTTGTCATATGTTCACAATTTTCGGACCGTAAATTCAATTAACGGATATTATCAGTTTGGTCAAACACTTTATCGCTTCCTTAATTACTTTATCAACGATTGTCACGCCCTGGCTGCGATAACCTGTCGCGTGCCGTGAAAATGTGGAAATAGTTGTAAGAAAATATATCAAACCAAACGTCGCCAGCTCTTGAGACGTACTAATTAAAACATATTGCGGGAATTCTAATTATCCAACTTTCCGGCGCCATACTCCGCTTGTTAATTCCACTCTAAATTTTAGTCTTAAAGATAAGATAAAGATATGGTAATTGTTTCAATACATCATACTTACGCAACTCCCTCCAAACACAATAACTTAACACGATTCTCCTTGAACAATTGTACTGTTTGTTAAAAATAGAAAGTTAAATGACCCTGTTCTTATGTAGAGTATCGCCCATAAGATAATTTCTGGAGAAGGTTTGTCGAATGTCGGCAAAAATCGGACTGTAGACGTAGTCTGCAAGCGTGAGTACAGTTTTATAATCGGCTGGAAGACGTAAAAATTGTAACGAAGTTTTGAGTGTTTATACACTCATTTTACAAAGCGACATTTTACTAACAATGCAATTAAAAATTTACAGCATTATTCACAAGTATAATAGTAACATACATAGACGACTTTCTTTCGGAGTGAGGCCTTGTTTATCAGAGCTTTGCGCTACAAGAACCATGAAGGAGACTGTCCATTTTATTTTACATCATACGAGCTACGTTAGAGACTCCATATTTCGCTGAATGCTTTTACGATCCCCGTGGAGGACCCAGAAACTCTCCCTTTCGCCACACTGATAAGGACTCTTTTGTAGACTATCTATTTTGCTGTACATTTTTAAGATCCCTTAAAAGATTCTTTCCTACTGTGCTATATAAGGTCCCTTTTTAGAGACCGTCTATTTTATTTTACATGATTGGGACCATTTAGACACCCTTCATTTCACTGCGCATTGTAAGGTCATTAATATTGATCATCTTCAATTACATCATTAGTGCGCACCAGCACCTAACATCGCCATTCTTATGTTCACAATTTGCAGGAAGTTGTCACTATAGACCTAATCATAGCTAAATTGTCACCAGTCTCCTGCAGCTCAGTGGTAGAGCGTCCTAAGTACTAATTAGATAGTTGTAAGTTCGAAACCTATTGGGAGCAACTATATTTGTTATTTTTCATCTTCCTTCATTTAAATCAGCAGGCTTATAATCGATTACCTTTGTCTACATCATCAGTAGGCATAAGCATCACATGCACATCCTATCTACGGAGCGGGCAGCGAGTTTGTCACCATGGACCTTGTTAAACGGCCTAGCTTGCCACCAGTCTCCTGTAGCCTTTTTAGTAGAAGAGCATTCAGCAAGCATTAATTAAGGGATCCGGTTGATGGGCAAACTACAGTTGAGGTATGGTGATGTCTGCAGGCCAGTGCAAATTCCCTCGTATTTCGTTTCGTTTATTGATTGATTATACTCGATGCTGTGCTGTATATTTCATGTAACACAAGTTAGAGGGGCCAAGTGAATTTAAAAATTTGGGGCCATAGCTAGCAATGATATTGGAAAAGGGACTGGAAACTTATTAATGGACAATGGTGGGGAGTATTTGTTCACTGAGTTTCAGAGTCATCTAAAGGAGAAGGGAATTAAGCACTAGTTGTCGGTGCCAAACTCC